TTCCCTCAAAGCAAGATGAAGAGCTTGCTCGGTCAACTCCCAGTCTGGAACTATGTCTTCTTAATTCTAGGAAGAAAGACCTTGGGTGGGTGGATACTTTTTTCCGTACAAGAGCCTCATTCGCTTTGACAGTATGGAAATGACCATACGGTTTAGTCCACAAGGAAGTGGACGCCACGGGGCAGGCTTGTGGATCATTTGGGGCAGGTACCTTTCTCATCGCCAGAAGTAGCCAAGGAAGTGACTCTCATGTCCCTGTCACATAATCGGAATAAGAGTATCCAGGCGCCACTGTATTCGGAGCTGTTGTTTTCCAGAATCCTCCCTATCTTGCTTCGTTAAGGTTTTTGCTCAAGATACTCCCTTGGTTTGGGGGGCGGGGTGGGGAGTAGAGTCTGTAAACAGCTAGCGTTTAGGGAAAGGTTTGTGGAGAAGTGACAGAGCTGTCACCCCAAAGCAGAGTCTGACGGGGTTGAGGGAAAAAACCACAGGCTTGACGGAACCAGGTCGAGGCGAGGCAGGATGGAGAGTTTGATAGAACGCGAACCAAGAGAGAAGAGGGAGACCTGAAACAGGGCGGATGTGGTGAAGCCTGTGACTGAGCAGAGGTAGCGGGAGGAGGAAGGAGCAGGGGCTCTCCTGGGGTGCATTGTGTGTGCTGAGCTCCCCCTCCCCACCCCCATGGCTGATTTCTGAGAAACAAGAAAACAACTCACAACAGTGACGGACGGTGCTCACGGTGGCTTTTCTAAGGCTGTAATCGGCTTTCAGATCTCCTTATCTTATTTAACAATTTAGACCCAGACTTGTGTGCTTTGTTCCTGAGAGGGCCACAGGAAAGGGCACCCCAGAAGTGCCTCACTCGGGCCGCAGCTGGGGTTCATTAACTGCTGCCTAGCCATTAGGAGCCTTCTTTCCCTACAAGCCCCGCCCCGCCCCGCCGCCTCCCCCCCCCTCCCGCCCCCCCAAGGTGTGGGAGAAACTTGGGGAGGGAGATGGTCTAGTTCAAAGGTGCAAAACTGAATTAGTGAAGTAAATGCGCTGAAACCGGACGCCTTTCAGAAAATGCAAGCACTCTGTTTCCATGTGTTTGGTTTTGGTCCCCTGGGACTCAGGCCTTGAACTCCTGGTGTAGAAATGGCTTGTGAGGATGACCTTGAACTCTTGATCTTCTGCCTCCCACATGCTGGGATTGCAGGCAGGCACCACCACACCTGGTGTTGTTTTTCAGTGTTTAGGATCAATTTGCACTTGCTAGGCATGTACTGTACCACTGAACTATAGTCCTAGGTCGCCATCTTTTTTTATAGTTGGGGATGGAGTCCAGGGCTTTGCCGCCGAGCTGTATCTGCAAGTTTATTTATTTTTTATTTTAAGAGATGATTGTACTCTGTAGCTCAGGCTAGCCTCTCTTAACCTCTTGAGTGCTGGGATCTTTAACCCCACTAGCAAGAATAAGAGCATTGCCACACATTGAGCCAAATTTGAAACAAGCCTGATTTTTATTGGGGTGCACCCAAGAGCTGACCAGAGGCTGCCTCCTAAATCAAAGAGAGCAGCCCCGAATCCATTTCTTGGGCCCCTTTTAGGGAGTAAAATTGAGAGTAGTTGTAAAGCAGGTTTACAGAAGACAGACCATGGGGCAATAGGAAGTACAGGGAAAAAAACTCAAAAAACATCATGTGGCCAACATATGACCAGGTCAGGGAGGGTCAGGGTATTCTCAAAAACACATCAAAGGCCCGGCAGTGGTGGTGGTGCACTCCTTTAATCCTAGCACTTGGGAGGCAGAGGCAGGCAGATCTCTGTGAGTTCAATGCCAGCCTGGTCTACAGAGTGAGTTCCAGGACAGGCTCCAAAGCTACACAGAAAATCCCCTCTTGAAAAACAAAAACAACTGATAAGTCTTTGCACCCTGAAGGCCTCTCTGCCAATGCAGCAATCCAAATTAAACCGAACCAGACCTAATTGGAAAAACCCAGGTTTAATGGGTAAAGCATTTCCCGGTGATTCTTCGGTCCCTCAGAGAGGAGACCTGACGAAGAGACCTGAAGAACCACGTGTCTGTTTTCTGGGATGCAGCTTAAATACCCTGTGGGAGTGGTCTTGAGCCTCTCTGGGGGAGGAGCTGTGTTTGCGGGCTTTGAAGGGGTGGGTTTAGGGAAAGAGATAGGGGAGGGGAGTTGAGGTGGATCTTCCACCAGAACATTCCAGACTCTTTGGGTATAGGGGTGCCAGGGGTTGAGGTGGAGTTCCCACCCAAACAACAACAAAAACAACAACAACAAAATCAAGGTCATGGGTTGGGGAAGGTTAGATTCCAGGAAACAGAGCAACTCAGCTCTTACA